GTCCCCGAGCAGAAGAATCAAAGAAATAAGTGCTAAAAAATGTGTTTTTGCTAGTGCCTGTATAAATTATAAAAATTATTAATAAACTTACTTGTATTCAAATAAATGCCATCACACCCTGATTACACGACTCCGATACTTAAACAAATTACAACCATAAGCACATCTTTTACCATACATGTTCGAACATTCCCGAACAATCCTGAACATCGCATTATAGTTTTGTTCGTTGAGCCGATCGTAGACGGTTTAATGTTGTGCTAATTGTAAATTATGTAAAATAAAATGATATTATTTTTTGAATAATAATAATATCTTAAAAAAAATTTTTAATTTGGGCGGATAAAAATTGTCCACGAACCGGTTAAATTTCTCTGCGGACCGACGGTTGAGAATTCCTGCTCTAGACTTTATCATATCCTATATTTATATTTCAATGCTTACTCCATTAAATTCCTTTTAAAAATCCAACTGAAAATCTTTTTTATTTATACAACACGACCCATATTTTGATATGACATGTTCAACACTGTTTCTTTGTTTATTATTATTTGTAATTAATTTTAATAAAATTTACTTTTTAACAAGTAACTGATAATATAATTTTTTTTAGTGGTAATGCTTTTAATTCTCCGGAAGTGTTACCGTCGATCGAACAGATTGAGCATTCATTCGGAGCGACTCATCCAGGCCTTTACGACTCGGAAAAGCAGATCTTCGTGTTAAATTTTCGAGGGCTCGCATTTTACTTCTCTGTCGAGTCGAAGTTCCAAACCGGTAGCACTCACAATATAGGTACTAAAAAATATTTATTCAAAGAAAATCATTCGTCGGATGTTTCGCGTTGCATCCGTCTTCTTTTATAGGAATATCACCTTTCAGTTTTCATACGAACGAATTAATTTACAGAGTTTCCCGATTCCTTACACTTTCAGCCGGGAAACTCACCGTTGGTCACCCGAATGGTCATTTATAGCGGTTCCACCGTCGAACAGGCTACTTCACCCGAACTACCTCTGTCTTGTTACAATGGACACTTGTATTTAGGAAAAGCGGAAGTTTTACGTGACGATTGTTCTACTAGGGGAATTAAATTAACTTTATTAACAAGTAAGAATATAGAATTAATAAAATTAAAATTTTTTGATTATTACTAAATTTTTATTTAGCTGGAAATGCTAGAAGAATCGACGCAACAAAAGTACAGTTTGAGAAAGATGTTCTTTTGGGCCACACCGCCCAAGATGTAGCTTCTGCTTTGGGAGCTCCTTCTAAAGTCTTTTTTAAAAGTGAAGATAAAATGCGTATTCACACTCCTAATGCCCATCGCAGGATCTCTACTAAAAGCGATTATTTCTTTAATTATTTCACTTTAGGAATGGTAATTTTTATTTTTAATAATAATTAACTATTATTTTAATTTTAATATTATTTTTAGGACGTCCTTTTCGATGCTAGAAGCAACATGGCTAAAAAAATCGTCCTTCACACAAACTACCCAGGTCATTACAACTTCAATATGTATCAACGTTGCGAATTTTATATGAAATTGGGTACAGCTGAGATAACAGCGTACGCTCGTTGGGATGATTTGCGAAAACAATTAACTCCCAGTGAACGTCCGGTGGTGTTGAACAGAGCTAGTTCAACGAATACAACGAACCCGTTTGGCAGCACATTCTGTTACGGGTATCAAGATATAATTTTTGAGGTTATGCCGAATAATTACATTGCATCTTTGACGCTTTACGGAGACGGAAGACCGATTAGTAATGAGACGGAGTCGGCGTGACAACGGCTCTCCGCCACTTACCTTATACTAGCGAACAGGTACTGGCAACCGTAAAGAAAGTTAAGAAAATACAAAAAAAATATTTATAAGGAAAAAAAGTGTGATTGGATGTACTGAGATGTTTGGACTGAAACTAAGAAAAAAGAAATTCAAGAAAAAAATATTGGAAGGTTGGGAATTGGATAAAATAGGGTTTTTAAAGAGCTTTAACAAGTTACAAGAAGGTACGCTTTTATGCTTTGAGGTATGTATTGATTTATTTCGTAATTATTGGAGGATTTTATATGGATTAAGATCAAAAATAAATGTTTAAATGAAAGAAATGAGTGTACAAAAAAAATGATTATGTTTACGAGGGCGTGAGTCTTCTATTTAACCTCTATAACTACTTTAAAAATTGTTTTTGTGTTATTTCCGTATTCTTCACAATGTGTTTTTTTTTTGGGAATGTTTATTTAATTAAATGAAAAGTATTCCCAAATTTAGTCGATTTAGAATTATTCAACCCTCTATAATCTTCTTCAAATTAATTATTTCATTTATAATAAATTAAACGTCTCTTTAAAATTAACTCAAAATTTTAAAACTAAGTATTTGTTTATAAATTTAAATTATAAGTACGAAGGCTTTTACCAGTGTTGATTTGAACTAATATTAGCACTATCACTAGAACTAATAGGCCCCATCATACACCTGTAAACAAATTGCGCAACAATCGCTATTTTGCGAAAATTGTGTAAAATTAATTGCGCAACATGATTCGTACGCAATGTTTCTAGTTCTAGTGTTAGTTCTACTTTTCGTTCAATAAAAATATACAACACAGTGCTACCTAGCGCTGTCACTAAAACTAACACAAGACCTAGAACTAGAAACATTCAGGTTTAGCCGTCTTAAGCGACGCATGGTTCTGGTTCTAGGTGTAGTGCTAGTTTTACTTTTCGTTCAATGAAAATATACCATAATTTAACGCTGAATAACAATTAAAACTAGAATTAATACTAAACCTAGAAATATTCGGGTTTAGTCATGCGTTTTTTTGGACGATTAAATTCGAATATTTCTAGTTCTAAGTCACGGTGTATAAAGGAGAGGTGGATAAACGACTGTTAGTGGTGGGGGTAAAAGGCCTAGTAGAGGTTTGGTTCGAATAAAATACCACTAATTTATTCAACCAATTTTTATTTTTTAACAAGGGTAATAAAATATATAAATAGGTGAAACAAAATAAAATCTAATGAATGTCAATTTAGTAAACTATTTATATTTTTAGCAATTTCGATTCCTTTTTTTTATTAGCTAAAGGTTTCGTATTTTGAGCGTCTTCTTGTATCACAAATTGTTTCATTCTATGGAGAATATAATAATGTATTGCAAAACTAATAATTTCATATTTATGATCGGTACAAGGAAAAGAAAAATTGTAGTTTGTGATCATATCGTCTACTATGTCGGCGTTAATACTACATGATTTTTTATTTATATAATATGTAAAAAAATTCTCGATTTCATTTATTAAATGAAACATGCGGATATTTGGATGTGTTAGAAAACCCCTTTATATTAGTTAATGTTGCTTCCTTATTACATCCTGTGCCTAGAAGAGCTTTATGACATAGTTCGCATGTAGTTCGTTTTAATAACTTAAAACAAATAAATTCAGTCATATGATAAATGACGCAATCCAAAATATCGCTGTTAGCGAAATCACCAACGGGAATATCAGAAATATTCCAAGAAGATGTTTCTACGAGGCCGCCTAATTTATTTTTTAGATGTGTTTTCTTCTTTCGGATATATTGGTGGTTTTAGAAAATATTTCCGTGTATTCTCTAAATTCAAATTTAATCGTATCTGGCTTGTCAGGCTGGTTTTCATATTCTATTGAACAATTTCCAAATTTAGGTGGTTTAACTAATTTATACACTGACAACATTCTGTAAAGTTGTAAAAATGTTGCTAAGGTAGGGTGGTCATTACATCCTCCAGCTTGGCGTATGCTTCCAAAAAATCGCTATAAACGTTTTATGTGAAAATTAAAGTTGTATTGGATTAACACCTACCTCTAATGGATCATGATTCATTTTTGCAGTCAATACATATTTAAAATCACATTTTTCTAACAAGTATCTTGTTAGATCTAGTGTGGAGTGTAATGAAACACGTAAACCTTCTGCCGTAGATTTAGTTAAAAATTGGCTTTTATTTATTTGTCTATTTATTACACGACATGACATGTACTTTATACCGAATTTTTTGTCAGAACGTGGTATAGCTTTAGCCCATTGAGGCAGCAAGTGTGTATTTTTACACATAAAGAGGCTAAATGTTTCAACTCAGAAACTATGCCCAGAAGTACAATTTGGTACACAACATTTATTAACCATTTTTATTTATAAAATATTTAATTATGCGGTACAACAGTCGAAAAAAAACAACTTGTCGTAGCGTGTCCGCTTGCCGACTAGGCCTTTTACCCCCACTATTCTATGCCACTTACGCGTTGCCGGTCGAGCCATATAGAACACATACGCCACGCCAGTCGATACACCACCTCTCTTTTATACACCCTGTTCTAAGTCTAGTGTTAGTTTTAATGATACTGTTAATTCTAGCTTTACATGTTATTCAGCTGTTGTATATTTTTATTAAATTATCACTAGACCTAGAACTAGAAACATATACAACAATTTGGGTGAAATATGCAACAACTTAGTTGTAGTGATAGTGCTAGTGTTAGTTCAAATATTAATGCAAATTAAAATTATTTTTCCATTTGCAATAAACTATTATAACAAAACAAATTTTATTGGTATGAAATAGATTAATTTTATCTATAAAGATTAAGACTATAGAGAGGTATGAACTAGTATCTCCCAACTGTTAATTGTATTCTGTAATAGAAAGAGCTTAATTGTAATAATTAATCGGCGGAACGATTCAGGAGCGTAACGGAACAAAAGAAGCCGACAAAAAGATACAAATAAATATTTAAATAATTTAAAATAAATGGGAGAAAATTATTGTATTATCAAACCCCAGTGTTGTTTTTGCCCTAATAAAATAATAATAAAATCTCTTTAAGAAGTGAAAAATATCTCTATTTCTCTCTGAATCACTCTTTCATAATTATTATTAACAATAGGACATCAACCAATTGATGTTAGTATTTTAATTTTTAAACTGTTGATGATGGTCTAGCAATAGTGCTGTGTGTGAAAATAAGTTTTGTTTTTTTATTATATATAATAGGATTTGTGATATTTACTTTTTTCCCCCTCTCAAAAAAGGTATTCATCAATAGGAAACCGGAAAAAAAAAGAAATAAGGAATAAAAAGTGTTAAAAAAAAACTCATATTGGCAGAAAAACGAAAAAACATAAATATAAAGGGTATTTTTACATAATTTAGTAATTAAATTATCACCTAATTAAGTTATTATTAAGGAATGAATTTGTGAATAAAAGGCATTATTAAAAAATTGATGAAATTGAATGAAATCGACGAGACACGTACTAAACAAAAAACGTATTCATATATAACATGTAGCGAATAAATTATTATATTTTATCATAATATGGTATGATGATTATGATTAGTAAGACACGTTTTTAGTATTACGATTATTATTATTATTATTATAAAAATTTTAAAAAAATAACTGCCACGCTTAAAAATTAAAAAGGAAATTGACAAAAATAGGGTATTTCCCGTTAATTTGAATTATTTGTCGAATAAATAAATTCTTTTATTTTTGTTTTGTACAAATGCATCCGTAATACGAGTATTTATTTAATATTGTTTTAGCCAGTAAATTTTGATATTTACAAAATATTGATCTCTTTTTTTATTGTATAAATCATGGTATTGATTAATAAAAATGTTTCTAATGTATTAAATTATTATATTAATCGAATTTCTCATTCAATAGGTTTTAGTTTAGAAAGCTATAATCAGAATAAAAAATATTAACACAAACGAAATATGTATGATAGATACATTTTCGTAGTGCTTTGCTATACTAGAGAGTTGATCTAGTATTTATATGGAATTGCCAAGTAGTGAAACAACGACATAATTGGTTGCTTAGATATTTATGGACTACGAAAATAATTGGAAATAACTGGTTGCCTAGAATATGTATCCTCTTTAAAGTTGAAATCCAGCGATTAACATTAAAATTATTTTGATTATCTTTACAAATGAATGAAATTTTGAACGTGACTAAGAAAGCGTTGTTCTTCTTCTTCTTTGCTTATTCCCACTTTATGTGGGGTCTACTCTCCTAATATTTCTGCACCACGACATTCTCTCCGCGATTGTCCGTTCAAAAAGTTATTTTCATTCCTCTTCTACCTCTTTTTTTTTCTCCAGATGGTTCGGCGCTTTTCTTACAACATGATGTTCGTCTCTGCGTATAGCTGTACCATCTCAGGCAACTCTCCGTAAATTTCTCAGTTACAGGGGCCACCTTAAAGCTGTTGCGAGCATATTCGTTGCGGATCTCGTCTAGCCTTGTCACTCCTCTTGACCATCGTAATAACTTCATTTCGGTCGTATGAAGTTTAATCTCTACCATCTAAAATTTAACCTAATATAGCATAGCGGGTCTTACCGCCATCCTATACATTTTTCCCTTTGTGCCAGTAGGCATAGTCGGATCGCATAGCTCTCCAGTTATGGATCGCCATTTCCGCCGACTCTATGCTCCACGTCAGCTTCTACATCCGCATTATTAGAGATACTTGAATTGTGCGACTTTCGGGAACGGTGTTTCATCAGGGCCTTCTTAGCTGACCCTTGATGATAAACTTCTAACTCAAAATTATTGAACAATAAATAATGTTAATGTGCATAAGTTAATTGTTACAGTTAAAAGAAACCCAAACGTACATTTATTTATAAGTAAGTGTAATATCGTAATATTTTGCCAAATTGATTATTTTTAGTTGACTAAAAATATTTTGTAAATATCAAAAATTACTAGTATCGCCTTTTGAAATATGTACACCATGCCTTACCCGTTTGACTCATAGACATCTAATGTTTATGTTTTGAAAACAAAAGGAAAAAGCCGAATATAAAATACATACCTTGAGATTTTTTGTTATTGTTTAATTTTTTGGAAAATCTGTGTAAAATTAAGATTTACGCAGTTAAACTGCCAAAATTGTGTCGTCTTTGAGTGTGAAGTAAAGCTGCTTAGTCGACCCATTAAGAATATGTTATAAAAAATTTTTAAAAAATACTTGATGGTAAAACCGGCAACGTCTTTTATATGAAGAAAAAAAATCATTAAAACCACGCTGTACATAAAATAATAAAAATATTAAACGTTTAATTAAATCGTATTATTTCGAGATCTCGTTCAAAGTTGTAAATATTTTATATCATTAAATGATTAATTACCATTGTAAATTTTTATTTAGGTTTTTTAAGTTTATTTTGTATTGTGATCATTTCATAATTAAAAAAAAAAAACAGTAATAATACAAAATTACAACAATATTCATTTAACAGTAAAAACTTTTGGTGTTTTAATTTATTTCCTAATAATATACAAAAATATATTTTTTATTTTTGATTTTTATCATCCAAAAATTGATCCAACGCCTCTTTATCCACTTCCAGTTGTATATCTTCTAAGGCACTTGCTTGATTATTAGTTACTTCTATTTCTGTAAAAGATCAAAATTAAAAAGAATAGGTAATTAAAAAATTTTCAATAAAATCTTACTAGGAATTGTTCCAAGACTTTTATAGGTTTCCAAATCTCTTTTGAATGCCTCTTGAAAAACCTGTTGCCTTTCTTTTAAAAGCTGTCTTTGTTTCAACTCGTGCTCAATAACATTTTGGGCATGTTTAGATGCTAAATTAGATCTTGCATTTTCTAAGTTAACTGGAAAATATTTCGAAATAAAGTGTTTAGAAGTATACTTAAATAAAATACATACCTAATTTCTTTTCTTTATACAAAGCCAATTGGTGTCTATGATCAATTTTCTTGTGTTCCAATTCAACTTTGTCAATTAGATCATCTAAAGACATCAAACTTTTCTCAGCCCTATCAAAATCATTGTACAACCCATCAATTTGAATTAAACAATGATCAATTTGGAGCTTTAAACTTCCTGTTGCAGATAAGAAACTCATTGTTTTCTGTAAATTCTCGTGGTCCTTTAATACTTTAGAATAAACCTTTTCAATTTCATCAGCTACATGATTAGCAGCTGATGCATTTTCTTCACTCTGTTTATGTATCTCAGCCCATTCCTGTTGATAGTGAGATAATATCTCAGCTCCGATATTTGGATTAACGTTGTATAGGTCTGTAGGAGTGGTTTCTTCATTTATGATTTGCTTGCCCGCATGCAATAAGCCTTTTAGGGTATTAAACATGATTTACTAACCTCAAATATTGTTTACTATGACATGATAAGATTTTTTAATTTTGGTGTTTTTGTGGTTGTGTACTATAGTTGGGTTGCTATCTGTACTGATAACGGATGGTCGACAATGTGACTCATTTTATTTATCGTATAGTGTGTTTACGTCAGCATATGTTGTTTATTAAGCGACTTGACAGGTATCAGCTGATTAAAGGAACCTTTAGCGTGGGTGTAAAAAGAGTTGACGAATTATTGAAATATTAATTTTATTATTTATTTATTTTCTCGTTTTTTAAATTTATATAAAGTTAAAACAAATTAATGATATATTGTATACATACTTGGAGAAGAATATATGTAGAATTTATATAATTATGAAGACTTTCACGGCCAGTGTTAATTGAACTAAAACTAAAACGATCTCGGTAGTATGAGGGTAAATGCTTTTTATAACAGATTTTATATCTTTACCAAGTTGTATGAGGAATGATTTCGATTCAAATCGTCGTGCTCGTTTGCGGCCGAAGCGCTGGATTTGATATATTAATACAAAATCGTCAACTTTGAAAGATTCTAGCGCCTCGTTTACTGCCATTAATAAGATATTTTCTTATACGACTTAGGTAAAATCCCAGGATTGTTGAATCTCATTTAAAATTCAATTGGAAAGATTTAGTCATAAACCTAATCATCATTAGCCAGTTAATCAGCAGCTCATTAACTAGTTGCTCATCAGCTATCGTTTTTTTTTCACTAACTTTATTAACAAATTAAACTAAAACTAGAACTAACACTAGACCTAGAACTAGAAACTTTCGGTTAAGCCTTGCGTTTTTTGAGAAAATGTTTAACGTTTCGGATGCCATGTTGCAACATTCTTCAGAAAGCAGTTCAAAGTGATAGTGCTAGTGTTAGTTCTAGTTTAATTAACAGCTGCCGTGAAAGCCTTCGTACCTATATTTTATTAACAAAATTTAGAATCTAACAAAATTTAAGTTAACATATTGCGTTTTCTATTGTCTGGCTTCACCAGTACTAGCAGGTTGTCGACGTACTCAGGAGCTGTCTTGATTTCGTCAGTTGTCCTTAATAACTTGAAAAAGTTTTCTATGATGATATCCGAGAAGATCTTTGCGTGTGACTTTTGTTCTATGTTCCTTATTGTGTCATATCATATCTATCTTGATAGTAATTCTTTAATCCTATGTATAAATCCTTGGAACAGTTGATCTTTCGCATAATATCAAAGAGCGCGTTTCTGATCATTTGAACACACTCTTCCGTTTTTCTCTCTGTATTAGTAATTTATTGATCATTTATTGATTTATTGAACATGTCAGGTTGATTCAAAAGAATTTAGAAATAAAACCAGTAGTAAAACATTTTTTTTGAATTTTATTTGGTCGTTATACTGGTTAGACAAGGGATCTACATATTCAAAGACTGCAAAACCTATTTAATTAATTTTTTTCTGAGAAGTTATTAAATTTTCGAAGAACATCAGAGGGGCAAAAAAGTTTTAGAATATTTTCATCTGGCTAAAGCAAATTTTTCCGATCCACCTTCATACAAAAAATCGAGGCAAGAATTGAACGTGGCTGGTTACATTTAGTAACTTAGAAGGGAATATTGAAAGTACAAATAAGCTAGAAACGTGCTCTATTATACAGGGTGTCTCAGCGAGACCGGTCATTAGACGTTTCTGGGATTCTGGCCAAACCAAAAATTTGAGAATGCAGACTTAAGTATTATCAATTACGTTCTCTTCATCTAAAATATTTTCAGATTTCTAGCACTTTCGGTTATACCGGAAGTCGCCACCTACTTTATTTTTTTAAATGGAACACCCTGTATATTTTTACATATTTGGATTTGTCTGTTTTCAAGGTTTATAAATAACTTTACTTTTTGCAATTTGATTCGGTCGTTCTCGAGTTATTCGAATTTTTCTAGAAAAATCTGCTCCAGCAGACATTTGTTCAAAAAATCAGAAAACACTCAATTTTTCGGATATCAATTTAGGATTGAGAACATGCTTAAGCAACATGATGGAGTATGTTTTGGTGCCGAGAACTGCGGTCTAGAACGTTTGATCACTTTACTATGGCACGTTAACTTTTCAAAATTTGGAAGTACCATAACTTCATTTTTTTAAATGGCACCCCCCATATTTTATTTTTTAGTCGTCTTCGGTGTCTCATTCTACATCTTTTATATCCCATATGGCCCATACCTAATATTAATAGTTTGGGAGATAATTAGGGTTTTTTGAAAAATGCACACATATCATATGGATATTTAGCCTAGTGTGCCATGAAAAACAAGCCTTCTCAATGAGTTCTTGTCAAAGACTCACTTGTTTACGTCACTTGATGCATGTGAGCTAATAATTATCTGTTATGTCCCTTAATATTAGTACTGAAACGAGTTAAAATCGATAACAATAACGAAAGTAATATTTACACAAATCAAGAAATTCTTAATTTATTTTTTTTGCATGAAAAGCGCGACAAAGTTCGTAGTATGATTCCCAGATCTTCTTTGGCAGCTCGAATTGAGGTGTTGGGACTGGGCTCGAAATAAGCCAAGGTATTCACCTCTTCCGTTGCATTATCTACTACATTTTTTGGTCAGTTTAACACGTGATTAATTCGTCCAAAATGCAAAAAATTTGCTTCTATTCCTCTAAATTTACCTTTTGTCATCGGAGATAAATGTGGATAATTTTCATTAAACATTCTGCAAGTTCTACTAAGAACTTTGTCGCACTTTTCGTGCACAAAAAATAAATTATGGATTTCTTCATTTGTATAAACATTATTTACGTTATTAATATCCATTTTAACTGGTTTTAGACTCACAAGCATCAAACAACCTAAATTAGACTTTGACGTTTATCAATAAGTCATTAAACATTTGTTTTCCATGGCACACTAGGTTAATATCCATATGATATGTGAGCATTTTTCAAAAAACCCTAATTATTTCTCAAACTATTAATGTTAGGCATAGGACATATGGAATATAAAAGATGTAAAATGAGACGCCGAAGACGACTAAGTAATAAAATATGGGGGGTGCCATTTAAAAAAATGAAGTTATGGTGCTTCCAAATTTCGAAAAGTTAACGTATCATAGTAAAGTGACCAAACGATCTAGACAGCCGTTCTCGGCACCAAAACATACTCCATCATGTTGTTTAAGCATGTTCTGAATCCTAAATTGATATCTCAAAAATTGAGTGTTCTATGATTTTTTGAACAAATGTCCGCTGGAGCAAATTTTTCTAGAAAAATTCGAATAACTCGAGAATTGCTGGTTCAAATTGCAAAAAGTAAAGTTATTTATAAACCTTCAAAACAGACAAATCCAAATATGTAAAAATATACAGGGTGTTCCATTTAAAAAAATAAAGTTGGTGGCGACTTCCGGTATAACCGGAAGTGCAAGAAATCTGAAAATATTTTAGACGAAGAGATCGTAATTGATAATACTTAAGTTTGAATTCTCAAATTTTTATTTTGGCCAGAACTCCAGAAACGTCTAATGACCGGTCTCGGTGAGACACCTGTATGGTGTTTATAGTTCTCGAGAAAAAAAAGTTAAACCAAAATTTTCCGTCATTTTTGAAGGGGCGTAGCTCCCCAGGGGAGTCGAAGTTGCTCATAGTTCATACAAGAAAGTAATCTTAAAATTTGCTAAAGAATGACCCCTGTAGTTTGGGAACGTCATTCAGATAATCCTGTATATTATTACGTGAAATGTCACAATTGACGGATAAATTTTTTAGTAATTATTAAAAATTGTACGTCCATCTATATTAGGAAAAATGAAGTAGGTCGTGATGAAACGCAGAAAACAATGGCGCTGAATTACAAATAGGTGCATTTAATGTACTGCCACTTTGCAAATGAGGCTGTGATGAGTGATGACCAATATCAAAAGAAGATTAAAAGATGCATACGACAGTGTTATCTTTTACGCGAACAAAACGTGGACCAACGACAACTATCTCTATCACAAAGCCAATCAGGTAACAATTCAATTTAATATTGAAACTTTCGTTTGATTAAGAGAATTTTTTAAACTGTCACCTTGACAGGAGCTATATGCCCGTTACGTAAAGATTCAGGAAACGTTCGCCGAAGAAGTAACACGACCGAGAACCGTTCGCGACAGCATACCCAATAGTAAATTGGCGCAGTACTCGAACTATAAGTACGACGAATCCAGGGAATTGTCATACACCCCTATCGGGCCGGACGTGGTATTTCATTATCCGTGCCAGTTGAAGCAAATGAACGCGAACGAACCATGGATGTTACCTGAAGTCGAACAGCTCTTCATCTGGCTAACTTATTCTCCTACTTTTAATTTGACGCAGTACATGGATCTTGCGGATTATAATCACACGGAAACTTATGATTTGGCGAGAAACTTCTGCAACGATGACGAAGATCTTCACGTGATCAATCCGAGGCGATACGAAGATTTCGAAAGGACACCAGGAAAACCACGGTTTACAAAATACGATTATTTATTTGAAATAGATTCAAAAATGATTGTACCACCTCCGGTTCTTAATTTTAATAGTTTTGAAGATATGACGGTTAAAATGAAATTTGATGTTGGTAAGTTAATTATCCTAAGAAAAGTAATCGTCTTTAAAAATGATTATTTTGCATATTGTATATAACTTGTTAATCATTTTTTATTTTTATGATGATGTGTAAAGTGCGTATTTGTTAGTTTTAAAAAGGATGATCAATCGATAGTTGAGACATTAGAAATGGAAGGCATCCACTAAATGTTTCATGATAATGGAAGTTTAGTTATACCGCTATATATTTATTTATTTACTCTGGTCAATATCGCTAATCTTTTTATAATACGATCTTAATGACCTTTTTATAAGGGGATATTCTCTTTTAAAGTAGCGACGAAGAATTGTTATGCATAATGTTATAAAGATTTTGTTTTATATAATGCTGTGCTACGTTTTTTTGTTAATATTTAGATGCAATCAAAAATATATGGAAAACAAATAGATGTGAAGAAATGGGTCCAAATAAAAAACTCCAAGTGTATAAATCTCCGTTTGATAACATCTTTATAGACGAGACATCATCTTCATCGCAAAAATTTCTTCATTACCCCGAATATTTTAACGTAGAGCGAAATCCATATCACTTTAATGAACTTCAAGAAAAAGCCAGCGATTTTCGGAATTTGCAGGTAAATATTTAATATTTCAAACCAGTTTTATTAAAAAAACAAGTCGATTTTTACCATCAGAACTTAACAGACGTTTTAAAAAAAATTAAGGATAGCGATGTTATAACAACAGCCAATAGAAATACTAAAGTAACTTCTTCAATAGTTCCTATGCGATCAGAAACAGAATGTGCTGCAAATACCCCGGCTAGAAGATTATATTCGGATGTAGTTCAAGGAGTTGCATCTAACAACAAACCGTCAACATCGAAATCTCACGTAAATTTAGACAGTTCACCGCCTTTGGCACATACCTCTTCGTGTAAAGATATCCAATTTGGAAATTTAGATGAGGGAATATCTTCAACGAGTTCGTACAAGTATATTCCGCCAAAAACGCGTCCTTCGTCGCCATCTACTAGTTGGTTAGATCAACTTAGAGGAAAACAAGATTCCAGGATGTTTTTAAAACACGACGATGGACGAAAAGCGGAATGTTCACAAACGAAAATTTCTAATTCTTCACATACCTCGTCTACGCAAACGAAATCGTTTCCTACGTCAAGTTTATTTTCGGAATCTTTATCGAATAGTCCAATTACTTGTTATAATAACTTTCCTAGCAGCGGTTATCCGAATTGTGTGCAAAATGCTTTCGGATCTAGCGATTATCAACCGAGCGATCTTCAAGCCGCTTTTCATGCCTTTCATAATCAGAACCTTCAAAACGCTTACCAAGGAAATTATTTTGGAAATACCCCATATCAATATCCACAGGTAAAAAATTTAATAAAAATAATTTTTTGGTTTACATCTATTTATTATTTTTAATAGGGCAATTTATATTGTAACAATTTTACAACTGGGAATTACCCTTCGAATCATTATTCATATCCGACGACATCCTTTCCAAATCCGCTAACCACAACTGCGGCAGCAGCAAGAAGTTTTGTCCAACAACAGCAGCAACAACAACAACAGCAACAAAATCAGAATAGTTTGCATTATAATTCGGGTCAATGGGTTATTAATCAGATTCGTTCACCATCGGTTTTTAATGTTGCCCATTTTCCACCTCAACCTTATTTTTTATTACCTTCGCATTTTCCAAAACAAAGGTAAGAAATTAATTTATATAATAACTAACATTAATGCCCGTTTGCACCGTTTTTGAGTTAAGCTTTACTTAACTAAGCGTCCCTTAATTTTTAAGCCAAGCTTTAAATGTAATCCGTTGCACCGCAATATATTTAAGAAAGTTTAGTAAAGCAAAAATAAACTCGGCAACAACGCACTAAATCGGTGAAAATGGGAAACTGTATTACCGATAATCGATAATTAATCTTTTATAAATGTTATATAATAATGTTGATATTTTATAATAGACGGTTAAAGTAATTTATCATCTCATTTCTTCTGACATTTCCTTGAATATTATCGCCATTAATTACTTCTGGTATATTTCCTACTTGAATTAGATTTTCAAATTCATCTGCATTTATATCAGGTTCCGGGGGTTCTTCTTCATGCATAGTAATACTTATATTATGTAGTACTGCTGATGCTACAATTACAGCGTAAGCAGTGGCTAATTTTAACCTAATGCCATATGCTAATATGGGAAATCGCCTTTTCCATACACCAAACAAGCGTTCAACAGTGTTTCGTGTTGTGATATGGGCCTTATTGTACAATTTTTCTGCTGCAGTTTCTGGATTTTGTAATGGTGTTAGCAGATATTTACCTACACCATAACCACTATCACCTATAACATGGTAATTATGTTAATGGTTCAAGGAATGTCATTTTACAATTTACCTAGAATAATTCCATTTCTAAATTCTCCACCTTCTAGCCTAGCACGTATTCTACTATTTGAATAAATAGTCATGTCATGTGTTGATCCTGGCCATCGTGCTACAATATCTTGCACCTTAAGGTCAGAATCTCCCACAACTTGGACATTTATAGAGAAATAGCCTTTCCTGTTTCTGAATATCTCACCATCTTCTCCTCCTAGAATATATTATTTATTTATTTAGTTAAGGTTCTTTTTTATTGAATTATGTCAATATACCTGGAGATTGTATCTTTATGTGGGTGCCATCAATGCATCCTACAATACTTGGAAATAATGCAATATTATAAAAATCTCTTTGTATTTTTTGAATATTATTTTCTGTTGGCATTTTTATGTAAGCATGAGATAGACTAGCTAATGCAATTGAAACATTTTTAATAATTCTTGATGATGTAGAAACATGAGTCCCCATAAAATCTGATATGGTTGACAAATGTCCACCTGTAGCATAAAAACGTAGACATGTTAATAATTGGTCCATAGGGCTTAAGCTGTTATTTCTACAAAAAGAATCAATAATTAATTACATATTTATTATTTACATAATATTTTACGTACATGTCTGTAGGATATTCAAGCTTTTCTTCAATTAGTGGTAAAATGTTTAAAACAGTATTCTTTGTTAAACGAAATCGTTGAAAAAATGTAAGGTTATCCAAATCTTCAAAATGATTGCGCCGTAGATATATCCGTTTAGGAAATCCATAATCAACAATCTCTAATATTTCTGCATCATTTCCAAACATATCTTCATCGTCGTCAAAAATATCCATGTTTTCACAATTTTCACGTGGTGCAAACGGGCATTAGAATAATAAAGTACTGAGAAAACAGCTTACAACCACGTCATATACTTTAAAATAAATAAAATAATGTATAATGTTAATTAAAGAAGGTAATACAAACTTTTTTTACAGATGGTTACATTATATGAGACAACCACCAACACCTCAGGCCTACCAATTAAACGCAACGACTCCACCTCACCCGCCTTCCTCGAATCAGCAACCTCAAGCGGTACCGGTATCGCAGATGCAACAACAAGTTTCACCACAAACCATACAACAATTACAACAAAATTGGAGTGGAGTCGTTCAACAAAGTCATCAACAATCGAACCAAACGAGTCAATCGGTTTTTAAAACGACATCAACCCAACACATCGTTGCCGCAAGTTACAATGCATTCGAAGGTTCGTCTTCGAGTATGCATAATTTAGATTCGTCGACGAAACAAAAGTTGAAAAGTAGAAAAATAAATTCTCAAGTGAATTTGGCTTTTAAAACGGTTAGGAGTAAATCGCCGGATGTTAAATCGAGTTCGACTACCTCGAAACGATCGTCGATTACTTCGGAGGGTTCTTGTGCTGGTGAGGTATTAGATAGTAGTAATAATAATGGGAATTTGATGAAGGTTTCTCAAGAACAACAACAGAAGCAAAGGGTAGAAAAAGATGTTGGGATGATAGTGGCAGATGATTCAAATAAAGGAAAGGGTATTATTATTCAAAAGAATTCTTCTGAGGGAAAGAAAATATTTTCGAATTCTTCAACAGTGATGACGAGAGATTACGAGAGTGAAATTCATTCTTTACCGGTTACAGCGACAGCGTCTGAAGAATTGGAGAGACAAGCACTTGATGAGTATGAATCGTCAAATGAAAGTTTTTACAAAGTAATTTTTTTTATGTTTTAAATTATTTTATTAAAACTAAATAATATTTAGGAATTGGAACGTCAAGCTGAGGAACAATACGAAGACTCGGAAAACCGGTTCGGCCCCCCGAATGATTTAGAATTCGACAATAAGTCCTTTTTCGGGGGGCTTTGCGCCAATTATTACTACTTGATGATGGTTTGCTATATTTATCACTATGCTTAAGGTGTAATATTCAACGTATTATTTTGTCTATTTTCGGTGTAAGTTTTTCATTTTCATTTTTGTTTTGAATTATTTTTTGTGTGCATTATTCTGTAATGCAAAAAAAAACGATAATCGTAAGGACCATGACCGAAAGATATTCATCGATTCACAAATAATAAGGATACGAAAACAATATATTTTAATGCGTTTACGGTATTATAAGGTAAGTAATTATTTTTTGAATACTTTTGTTTTTTAATAAATTACGATTTAATATTAAAATAAATATGTATTGAGTAGCATATTTATTATATAAAATAAATTTAATAAATTTTATATGCAATTGAAAATGTTGTTTCCAATTTCAGAAGTATTAAACTTAGCGAGCACAAATAATTTTATTATAATTAATTGATATTTTTATGATTTCATCGCTTTCATTAATAAAATTGTTTACGTGCTCCGTACTAGTTAAAGCTAACAATTTTATTTATGTAGGTTTACCAGTTTATAAAGTCTGATTTATTAAACATATTTTTAAGTTGAAATAATAATATTGATTTTTTAATGAATATCACGGAAACGGTCTATATGCGTTGTAGTGGTGTAATTTTTTATGTAGTTATTGATGTATATTAATTTAAAACGACGTGTTTACTTTTTTATGGAATTTTGTTTTATTATTATTTTTGTTTCTATTTATTTCTAATCTGTCTGTAAGTACTGACGAAAATATAGACAATTTAGAAAATTTGGACGACTCAACAGATAGTATATGTACGGTAGTTCCAAATAAAACAAAACACACCAAAGTTGCCGCCTTAAACAATAAAACTATATTTAGAATGCTCAACAAAATTAAAGAGTTAGAAAACCAAATCCTCAACCTAAGAGTATATCTTGAATTATCAATGTTAAACATGCGGATATCTTAAAGAAATACTTCTTTAAGATCCGTACGTATTCAGAAGTTCATTTTAACAATTCTTCTTCGAATCAAACGAGTGCAAATTTATGAACGACATTGGCATGTTGTAAAATCATGACCCAGTTGCCCCAGCTTACCTTATTTGTTCTTCTGTTTTGAAAATGTACATTTAATACGTCGCGTCGTTAAAAGTCAGAATGATGAGGTCTTGTGTTAGTGCAAAACTAGAACTAACACTAAACCTAGAACTAGAAACATTCGGATTTAAACTCGAAACTTACTAAGTACTTAAAGTAAGTAGGTACGCCCTTGTTTCTATGGAAATATATTTTTGTATACCTATTGCATTTTAAGTCCTAAATCAAGTAATCCACTTAATCCCTAAATCTAGAGAAATTGAACGATTTAAGAAAGAAAGAAGAATGTAGACGAGAATGTTAGACACTACTGAATAATCGTGATTTTTTTATAATCATTATATTCATATGCAATCAAAATTCAATTTAATTCTTGATATAGTTTTTATAATTTACGATGTGCTAATTGCTAGATCATCATTCATCAGTTAGCGGAGAGAAAGTTTAGATGTACAGCTTTCCAGCACAGAAATAGGAGATCAAATCTTCGGTAGTACCCCAAGATCTTCTTTTACAGCTAAGGAAGCGACGTTCCGAGTGTCAATGACCCTTTAAGAATTCATATAATTCGATGTAAGTAGGAAAGGATTAAACTAATTATTAAGAATTTTTTAACGCTTAATAAACAATTTTAATAACGATTTCCGGTAAGTAAGAAATAAGTTGAGAACCACTGATGTATCGATTCCATGGTCAGGCGTCATTTTGGTTAGATATGACCTGAATTAGCTGCGATCGTGATCTAACTATAACAAAGTTGGTTTACCATAGTCACGAAACCAAATACAGTGCAAACAAATAGAATGGAAACAGAATCCTATATTAATCAAGAAGTTCTTATTAAAAACATTTATTTTTCTTAAAAAGTAAATAACGAAGTTGTTTTCCGACGACCTAATTAACAAAAAATGTATGTATAAGTTAATGATGATTAATGTTGAAAATAAAAGATAAAGAAAAAATGAGGATAGAATAAAAATGAAAAAAGCACAATAAATCAGTTTTGAAGGAAGTCGTTATAAAAAGCTTTTAATTTTTTATTGACGTCCTCGATGTTATTTCAGCAATTCATTCCTGTTTAATCTCCTTTCCTATAAACCTAACAGACGGAAAGAGATGGAAGAAAGGGCGTAAAGGATAAAGAGCAACGGTTTAAAAGCATTTTTTAACTCTTCAACAACTTTCTGCCTGGGCTGGTCCGTGCCACACCGAAGACGAGCACACAAAATGCGATCCTAACGATGTCGATCGATGCCAAGCGTCTACCGACGTGGGCCGGATACCGATCCGAACCCGACTGCCGTGACTGTGACTATGTTCGCTGTTCCCTATGACTGTGATAGTCACTAGGTACGGTGCTGGTGGTCGAGCGAGCGAAAGAGCCACGGTAGTGTTGTATATTGTACTACATCAAGCCGGGGGGGAAGCTTAGTCAGACTTGGCGGTGTTGCCATGGTAACCGACGGTGCCCGGCAACAATTTCAGAGAGCACTACGATGGGATCGAGGTCATGGAAAGTAGTTTGGAGTGTGTTCGATGGGCGAAGGGGGGGAGACGAAAACGGAGGAAACGGCAGTAGCTCGTTTCCAATTTTGTTGACTGCAGCTATTATATTGTATTATAGAAAGTTGGGAGGGGGCGAGAAATTACATTACTTTTGATTACTTCGCCTTCTTTTTTTTCCGTTTCTTGCTTATTTTAGGTTTCGTTTTTATGGTGACACTCCATGATTAAGGAATTCAACAAATATTTTAAACTTAATTAAAAAGAAGGTATAGATATCAATAAGTAAATTTGTTAATTAATTCATTTATATAGATAATTAAACATTTCTTATTTATTTATTATCGCAATAAAAAAATTTGTAAGTAAGATTTACAAAACTATTAAGTTTAATTTGAAGTAATTATAGTAATTTATTTCTATCAAGCCACATCAGCACGAAGCATATAAAGTAAAATAAGAAAGTTGAAATATTTTTTAAGCCGCTGATATCTACGCATTACATTTTATGCTTTTATATCCATTAAGACGCTCCGCTTATGTAATTAGTAATTATGTTGCCCAGCTGCTGTGCTGATGTTCGAATCAATTACAGCAACACTGTTAAACAGGTATTAGTAATTCAGATTCAGATCGAGTGATTAACATGCCAACAACTTAATTGAAACGATTACTAACGATAAAATCAATAAAACGTAACCCAACCTAACCCAATCAATCAATTAACCACTCAATATTTAACTAATCTTTATTTCCATAACAAAAAAAAAATAGAGAAGTACTAAACTTGTTTGTTTTGCATTTCAAACAATTAAAACCGGTTTGGTTTTGTGTCGTTCCACTTCGTGCTTATTTTTTTATAACTCGTTTTCAAGGCCAAAAACAAGCGCAACCGCACCTCGAAACAACGAAACATTCCGTTTCCATGACGACGACGTCGACGAGAATCGGTTGCGGCAACGCGGTCAGATTATCAGAACTTATTTCCGTTTTGACGGGCTCGGTACGGGGTGGCGGGAGAGGGTACGAAGGGGAATCGTGTTTTTGATGAAGGAGAAGTATGGGCGCGGGGAATTGAAGAGAGGAGTTGGAGAACTGAGCCGGAGTTGAACCACTTGGCAAAACATGGAATGTAATCTATGCGGACGCGACCATTCTGTCATGAAATGGGGGGAGTTGGGTATGAGCGCTCTTATAGCTTCGGTTGCTTGTCATTTTGGTTGATCCTCCTCGCATTTAGTACCCGCACACGTAGGCATTGTTTACGTAACCGCTTCAACGGTCGCGCCTGTTTTGTTTGTATCGTACATGTTGTTGAATCGAGGTCAACGGAGATTGCATTCAAGTTGTTGATAACTAACTGAAAATAATTATGTACATATATTAATATGATTTGTAGCTTTGCGACTAAATTATACAGATACTAACTTTTCATAATAAAATATGTATTTTACAATAGCGAGTTAAATTATATGATGAGTTAAAGCACTATACGTCGAAAAAGAGAACAACGCGGCTCAAAAATCAATACCACGGCTAAAATTATACTTTGCTTGAGCGAAGTAGTTGCGCAAAGATAAATCACTATGGAAAAAAAGTACTATTCGTCTAAGAAATTTTTCTAGATGATATACTCGCATTTAGCACGGAAAAATATTGACATTTATTTTTACCCGTGCGACGATAGCAACAAACTTTTACCCGTAATTTCCTATCTACTTTCTTAGCTGATATCTTCCTTATAATTAGGGATAGCGAAAAACTAAATGTACCACTTGAAAGCTTGAATCTTTCTCTATCTAAAACCGGGTTTTCGTCTGCCGATAAGTTGATATTAAGATCAATAAAAAATGAAGAACACCGCGCTGTACTTAAAATAGCTCAAAATTACCAAACTTCAAGGCCTTGTGCAATTGTTACGAAACCGAATTTTAAAAAACTGTTATCACAGTCAGAAAGGGCGCTCCTTCAGCTATCTTAATCCGGGTTTTCGTCGGTCAATATCTATCGGCGTCATGCTTAAATCACCCTTAATGTCCATCCCTACACGCAGAAACGCTTAAATACTCTTCCTCTAAACAAC